AGCGCGCGGCCCGCCGGCCTGGAGTCGGGGTGCCGGCCGGTGCCGGGGCGCGGCCAGGGACTGCTGGCCTCAGGCGCTCGGGATTTGTGTACCTGGTCCAGGCTCTCGTCCTGGGGACGCGAGGACATCACCGGGCACAGGGCCGGGGTGGGCGCACCTCGGGCTCTCTGGAGATCAGGGGAAACTGCAGCCTCTGTCCTTCCCACCGCTCCTGAGAGTCACTTAACTGCAGTGAGAGGGCCCCGCCCCTGCCTCTGCCTTCCTACCTGATCCGTGACTGCTGCCCCTGGCCTCCTACAGTGCCACTTAAAAGGGCTAGTTTTTACTTCCTGCGGTCTTGGGAATCAAACCCAGGGCCTCTTGCATGCCACACAAACGCTTCATTTCATTGAGCTACATCCCTGGTCCTTTTCATTTTAAGAAAGGGTTATCCAGGCTGATCTCCAGTTTGAGGTCCTCCTGCCTCGGCCTCTTGAGTAACAGGTACCCAGCTGACTCTCTTCTTAATTCAAAAAATATCTTAGCCAAGAAATTATGCACACGTGCACGCGCGCACACACACACACACACACACACGTACGTCACCAGTCACAGGGCAAGTAACTGGGATTATAGCACGAGTAAGAAAAATTTTGCTTTCTGGGAGCATGGAGTCCTGATTGGAAAACAAGCATTTAGTGAGAGTGACTGTGTTGCTGATTTCCAGGCGTCAGTGTCCAAGCTGGTACAGGATCAGATGGCAAGGACAGTTTACCTAATCCAGGGAGGAAGGGTTCAGGCTGGAGGCCAGTGCACTCACCAGGCATGCTTTTCATCATTAACCAGTGCTGGAGTACCCAACACCCTCTGTGCCACGGTGCTCCTTCAGTGACCTGACCACTCTTTGGGAAGGCCCATGGCTATCCTGAGGGCCTCCAGCTTAGGACACTACAAACCGCTGAGTGGGGCGGCGCTCCTCTGCAACCCTGGCTACACAGGAGACAGGCACAGATCCGGAGTGCAAGGCCAGGACTGGGGATATAGCTCAGTGGCATAAGTGCCTGCCTGGCAAGCACAAGGTCCTGAGTTCAATTTCTGGTACCAAAAAAAAAACGAGTTCAAGGCCAGCCTAGGTAATATGGTGAAACCCTGTCTCCAAAAAAAGTCGTCTAACTGCACCCCAAAGACAGCCCAGAGCTCCTCCAGCTGTACCCTGAGGCGCGATGTTCGGCACCGGGGATCTTAGTGCTTCCTCCACACGCCCTCGCAGTTGATCCGAATTATCTGTGAGCCCATATTTGCAATTCGCCTACTCAGCAAAATGTATTTATAGCCCCACTAAAGTCACTGTTCTTCCATCTTCATCTACTTCCGTTCCCACACAGTCCATTTCTTCCAGTGATCAGCACAGATCCAGCACACCAGCTCCCCTCCGCCCCCATACTGGGGATCGAACCTGGGACGTTTATACTGAGCTATATCTCCAGCCCTTTTTACTTTTTATTTCAAGGCAATGTCTTGCTAAGTTGCCCAGGCTGGGCTGGAACCTGTGACCCTTTGGCCTCAGCACCCTAGAGTGCTGGGATTGCAGGTGTGCACCACCACACAGCTGCCAGGGGGCTTGTCTCGCTCTCTGACCTGTTCTCTTGTGCCTTCCCTAGGTCTTCCCATCCACACAGAACCACTCTGTCCCTGGTCCCAAGGCCGATACACCAGGGGACAAGTTTACTTTCTTCACACATAGGGAGCATTCTAAGAAAAGTTCATGCAGCTTTACTGTTTTCATCCAACCCTCAAAAACATTGTATTTTTTTTGTTTTTTGAGACAGGGCCTTGCTACGTACTCCAGGGTGGCCTTGAACTCATGGCAATCCTCCTGCCTCAGCCTCCCAAGTGCTGGTTGACAGGCATGTGCCACCAAGCCCGGCCCCAACCTTAAAATTTAAATAATCATCAGAATGTTTAGCAGGGTGCTGTACACTCCACGAGGATGAGAATGTAGTATAGAAACTGCTGTGAAACACCCACCCCTTAGAGGGCTGGGGGTGTAGCTTAGTAGCTGAGCGTTGACTGGCATGTTCAGGCTGTAACATATGGGGAAGGAGGGGACCCAGCAGAGACCACCAGGCTTGTGTAAGGCAACATGGCATGGAATTTATTGTGTCTGGGTGCAGGCAGGCAGAGAGTGCGATAAGACCATCTGCCCCGAACAAAGAGAAGTGTGTTCCTTTTTATAGGGATGGAGAGAAGGCAGGGGACATTCCGGGGGAAGGTCCCAGTGAACATGTGTGGTTAGAGTTTTCTGGCAGTCTTGTACCTCAGTGGGCAGAGTCCTTGAAGTGTCTGGTGTGAAATCTCAGGTAGCTCCAGATGTCCCCTGACCTACAAAATTCCTTGTCCAATCTCATCTCCTTTCCTGTGCTTGCCAACCTTGGTACTGAGCTGAGTTCCCTGCAGACAGCAGTGCGTCTGCCCGCAAGCAGGCTGGGGGCTGGGAGTGTCAGGTCCAGTTGGAGCCTTACACAGGCCTGCGTTCAACCCCCAGTGCAGCAAACTAAACAAACAAACGCTCCTTATAGATGACAGGAGCAAAATGTGTGGCAGTCTTGCTTTCAGCCATGCCAGGTAGGTAGCTTTCTTTCCCCATGTGAGGAAGGGCTTGACGGGAAAACGGTGCTCCTCTTCTCCGAACTGCCTAAACTCCCAATTTTACAATCTTAAAAGTTCCTCTTTACTCCTAGCTAGAACTCGATGGCTGCAACTCAGCGTGTTACCTCCGGCTCTAGCCCGGGGACAGTGAAATAGCTGCTTTCCTCTGCACAGTAACTCTTCCTTTAGTTGCATCAAATAAAGTCGTCTAACTGCACCCCAAAGACAGCCCAGAGCTCCTCCAACTGTACCCTGAGGCGCGATGTTCGGCACCGGGGATCTTAGTGCTTCCTCCACACGCCGTCGCAGTTGATCCGAATTATCTGTGAGCCCATATTTGCAATTCGCCTACTGAGCAAAATGTATTTATAGCCCAAAATCAAGTGATAGGGTAACTTGGGGAACTGAGAAAAATTCACCGGGCTCTGCACTGGTTACCAGCGGGCGAGCGCTTGGCCGTCACCTCAGAGCGGAACCCGGGCCGCGGTGGGTTAGGGTTAGGGTGACGTCAGGAAGGAACATTGAACCCTGCGCGTTTTCCCTGGAGAGTTAACCGACCTGCACCATTCAGATCTAAAAAGCAGAAATCCTGGGTTGGCACAAAAAAAAGTTATTTCCTGCCAGTGTGGGATGAGAGTGGCGAGCTGAACTTCGGAGGAGCCTTGCTAGAGCCGGGAGGACCCCGTCTCTTCGGGTTAGGGTTAGGGTTAGGGTTAGGGCTTCCTCTCCCGGGGAATCTATCAACCTTCCCAATGAAGCTGGCTTGGTGAGGGGTCTGTTCCAGATCTGTTCCTGTCAGACAGTGAAAGCGAAGTTTGCTCCCCGTACTGACCACAAAGAGGAAGAACTGGGGCCTTGCGCAGCATGGTTAGGACAGCTGGATTTACAGCAAAGCGGCCTGGTCTCACCCTTGGCCCTGCCTCTTGCCAGTCACATAAATATTCCAAGTGTCTCTTTTCTCTGCTGTGAGGGAGATAAGGATCTTCTCAACATCCGGCTGTTCTGAGGTGGCACCCCTATGTCCCAAGGGCTCCAGGGAAGGCAGTAATTTCCACCAGCACAGGCAGCACAAGGCAGACAGCCCAGGAGTGACGGTAACTGCTGTGCTCGACAGATGACCTGATGCAGATGTTCCACTCTTTAACCTCATGACCTCGACAGGTTACTGATCATCTTTAGGTCTCCATTTCCCCATCTGTGGAAAGAAATCAAAATTCCTACCTTTATAAGGTGTGAGGATTAAATGAGATACTATATATAACACACTTAGTGAAATGGATCAGTGAACTGGTGGTGATGATAACACCACCAAAAACAAATAAACAAAATGGGGTTTTTTTTGGAAGAAAGAAAAATAAGGCAAAATGAAACATCCAGTTGAGAGCCAACCTTCTCTGTACTCAGCAGAGAATTACAATAAAGCCATGCTGGAGGTGGGAGTGGGGAGTTGAGAGGGTGCAAAAGATTTGGTGAAAGTGACAATTCTGTAAGTAACCTTTTGGAACACCTTCTTATATTGCAGCAGACAGCAGCTCCTCCTGAGGGCCATGGTGGGTTCAGAGCTCTGAATGCCGTGATGAACAAGCTGATGTGACTCAGCAGTATAATGCAGAAAATGGAAAGGGTAGAGACAGAAATGACCAAGAAATGCATGAGAAGCCTTCCCCTAGCCACTGTCTATGAAACACCTGTTCATGTCTTTTGCTCTTTTTAAAAATTTCACACATTGAACCTGGGGTTGTTATTTTTTTAATATTCTGCTTAGGTTTTTGTATCTATGCTCCTCATTAGTGAGAATTCATGAGCTTATTATTATTTCCCTTTCTTTCTTTTCTTCTTCTTCTTTTTTTTTTTAGACAGGGTCTCACTATGTAGTGCAGGCTGGTCTTGAAGTTGCTCGTATATATAGCCCAGGCTGGCCATAACCTCATAGCGATCCTCCTGTCTCAGCCTCCCAAGTGTTGGAATCATAGGCATGTGCCACCATGCCCAGCTTATTTTCCGTTCTTTACTGTAATTTTGGTATCAGGGTTCTACTAGCCTCACAAAATGAGAGAGAAAACTTTTTTGTCCATTCTCTGAGATTGTATGCAATAGAAGCTAAAGGTTTCTTTATTTGGTAAAATTTTGTTGGTGATTTCTTTACAAATTTTAAAAAATCTACTGATATAATCTCCAATAATGATAGGATCATGTGAAATTATTTTTCTCCTTGAGTCAGTGGTAATTTCTTTTATTTTCCTTTTTTTCTCTTTTATGTATTTGTGTATTTATTTATTTTTTGGTTTTTCTCCGGTACCGGGAATCAAACTCACGACCTTGCGCTTGCCAGGCAGGCACTGTGCCACTGAGCTAAATCCCCAGCCCTTTTCCTTTTTTATTAGTGTATGTTCACAGTGCCTAATGTTTACATTCATTGTGAGAAGTTGGTCCATGTGCATGACACGTCTTAATTCCTGTTTGCATCCCTTTTCCTCCCCACCATTCCCCTCCATCTCTTGATCCCATTCCCATGTGAGAAAGATCTATCTCCTACTTCTGTTGTCATTTATTTTATTCTTTATTTATATTTTGGGTTTCTCATATAACGGAAACCACACAATATTACCTTCTGTGTTTGTTTAACTTATCATTATGGTCTTGAGGTATATCCATTT